ACAAATATTGGCAAGCAGGACTAATGGAACAATGGGTTGCCTTTTCAACAGGAGATAATTCCTGTACTAGCTAGGTACGTTCCTGAGGTAAGACAAACAAGACAGGCTCAGATGATAGATTAAGATTAAGCAGAAAAGGCCAGGTAAGTCATCTGACAAATGGTTTATTATTAGGTGAAAAACAAGCTGAACATAAAGTTCTGGGGTGCATTTAAAAAAATCAAAATGAGAGGTGCAAAGTAACCGGTACAGATTAGGAACCAAAAGAAATTTATGCTTGGAGATAGAGGGCATGGTTGAGATACTATGACTACGCTGCATAGTAGTGTCTCTTACGAGAAGAGGGGTTCTGCTAAAGTCAGAAAAAGGTAGTTGAAACACTGGGGATATATTGGACCAGATACATTTTCAGTTGAGTCACCAGTATCAGATGTATCTGATGCGGAGGGAGGTACAGGTGTAAATTGTGGGCATAGCTTTAATCTTGCAATTTTCTTTAAACTTCTAACTCCAGAGGACTAGAGAATTGTAACTGTTAACCCCTTTTTAAAAAGGGGTGTAAGAAATAACAAACTAATCTCAAACCAGTCAACTTATCCTTGGTAGTTGGGAATGATTCTAAATATAATAATACTTGGAAAAGTGTGATTAATTAAGAAACTTAAATTCGGGGTGAAAATCTGTAACTAATGGTATGTCACAGGGATCAATATTGGAAGTGCAATTATATGATTTGATTTAATTTATTAATGTCATGTATGGAGGTACAGTGAAAAGAGTTGTCCAACATGCTTTACAAGTAGATTACAATTATTTATAATTCTAACTGGACCCCCTGAAGGCCTTTGACAAGGTGCCGCACAGGAGGCTGCTGAGTAAGAGAAGGACTCATGGTGTTAGAGGCAAGGTACTAGCATGGATAGAAGATTTGGCTGTTTGGCAGAAAGCAGACGGTTGGGTTTAAAAAGGTCTTTCTTAGGATGGTAGCCAGTGACTAGTGGTGTTCCACAAGGGTTAGTGTTGGGACCATAACTTTTCACTTTATACATTAATATTCTAGATGAAGGAACTGAGGGTATTCTGACTAGGTTTGCAGACGATACCAAGATAAGTAGAGGGACAGGTAGAATTGAGGATGTGGGATGCTGCAGAAGGATTTGGACAAGTTAGGAGAGTGGGCACAGAAGTGCCAGATGGAGTACAGTGTGGGAAAGTGTGAGGTTATGCACTTTGATAAGGAGAGTAGAAGCATGGACTATTTTCTAAATGGGGAGAAAATTCAGAAGTCTGAAAGCGAAGAGACTTGGGAGTTCTCGTCCAGGATTCGCTCAAAGTAAACGAGCGGGTTGAGTCAGTAGTTAGGAATGCAAATGCAGCTTTGGCATTTATTTTGAGAGGACTTGAATATACAAGCAGGGATGTACTTCGGTGGTCAGGCCACACTTGGAATATTGTGCACAGTTTTGGGCACCATATCTCAGGAAAGATGTACACTCCCTAGAGGAGGTTCTTGAATAGTCCCAGGAATTAAAAGCTTAACATGAGGAACATTGGAGGACTCTGGGTCTATACTTGATGGAGTTTAGAAGGATGAGGGGAGATCTAATTGAAACTTACAGAATACTGAATGGTCTGGACAGAGCAGATGTTGGGAAGTTGTTTCCATTGGTAGGAGAGACAAGGACCTGTAGGCACAGCCTTAGAAAGGGATCATCTTTTAGATCGGAGAGGAAGAGAAGCCTCTTCAGCCGGAGAGTGGTGAATCTACAGAAGTCACTGCCACAGAAGGCTGTTGAGTATATTTAAGATGGAGATAGATAGGTTCGTGATTGTCAAGGGGATAAAGGGTTATGGGGAGAAAGCAGAAGAATGGAGTTGAGAAAGTTATCAGCCATGATTGTATGGTGGAGCAGATTTGATGGGCTGAATGGCCTAATTTCTGCTTGTGTCTTATGGTCTTATTAATAACTGAAGAAAGTGAATGTATTATAACCAAGTTTGTGGATAACAAGTAGGTGGGAAGGTAAATGGTGAGCATGACACCGTTTGCAGAGGGATAGACAGGTTGAGTGAGTGGGGGCAAATGTCTTGGCAGTTGGAATATAATGTGGGGAAATATGAGGCTATACACTTGCAGGATGGATAGAGAAACTGTATTAAATTGAGAGACTGCATGAAGTTTCGGAACAAAGCTTTTGTCTGAATCACAAGCTACCATCCAAGCTTAGTAAGTAATTGAGAACACAAATGGAATGTTGGCTTTTATTTGAAAGGAAATGGAATATAAATGTAGGGAGGTTTTGCTAAAACTATACTAGGCACATATCCGAAATATTGTGAACAGTTTTGGACCCGTTTTATCCTAGGAAAGATTATAGTGGTATTGGAGGCCGTTCAGAACAAGTTCATTCAGCTGATTCCAGGGAGGAGAGATTGAGAGGATTGGGCATGTTCTCATTGGAATATAGAAAAGTGAGAGGCAGTCTTATCGAAATGTGTAATATTTGTGGGGGGCTTGACAGGGTAGACTCAGGTTGTTTCTCCCTTTTTACAAGAGTTTAGGGTCAGAGGGCATAACCTCGCAATAAGAGGTCACCACCTATTTAAAACAAGTGAGGAGGAATTTCTTGAAGGTAACCAATCTGTGGAATTCCTTACTGCAGAGTGCTGTTGAGGCCAGGTCATTAAGTATTTTCAAGGCTGAAATAAAAAAAACTGATTTTTTTTAAAATACAGTGAGAGAATCAAGGGTAATGGGGGGGGAAACGCAAGAAAATGGAATTGACGATTATTAGATCAGCTGTGATTTCATTGAATGGTACAGCAGACTTGGGCTGAAAGGAGCTGAATGTCTTGGGAGGTAAATAAACAACTACCAATTTTCCTTGAGTTTTCAGGAGTTGAGTCACCCTGGAGATTTGATTTCATGGGCAAGGGTTTTGAGGGATTATCTACCAGAAATGGTTAGTAATAACAGTCCAAAGATTGTGGGGATGATAATACTTCAGCTTCTTCCCCCCCCTCACCCCACCAATTAGTTTGAGCAACAGGCTATTTTGGGATCCTATGCTACTCACCAGGTCCTAAGCATACCAGTCTTTGCAATTGGTCAGTAAGTTCGACTGTTAAGAGGTTAATAGTTCAAGACAGCCCGAGTACAGAGTTTATGCTGTTTGAGGTTGACCAGCTCAGTTGCCTGGCCGGTTTGTAATGCAGACTGATGCATCAACATGGGTTCATGGGTTCAGTTCCTGCACTGGCTGAGGTCACTATGAAGTGACTACTTTTTGGGCCCTGTTGTGATGCAGTGGTGGTATCCCTATTCCTGGACCAACAGGTCCAGGTTCAAGTCCCACCTGCTCCAGAAGTGTGTAATTACCAATTTTAAAAATCAACTGGGGGCAAAAAAACTGGTCCATCAAGCAGAGAATGCAAAGCTCGTGCCAAGTCTGTTTACAGCTAACAGCTTACAGCTAATGATACAGGAGAGCTATATTACCACAGTGCATTGAGTATAGGAGTTGGGAGGTCATGTTGTGGTTTTATAGGACGTTGGTTAGGCTACTTTTGGAATACTGCATTCAGTTCTGGTCTCCTGCTCTAGGAAGGATGTTGTGAAACTTGAAAGGGTTCAGAAAAGACTTACAAGGCTGTTGTCAGGACTAGAGGGTTTAAGTTTTATAGGGAGAGGCCGAATAGGCTGGGGCTGCTTTCCCTGGAGGGTCGGAGGCAGAGGGGTGACCTTTATACAAGGTGGTTAAAATCACGAGGGGCATACATAGGGTTGAATAGTCAAGGTCTTTTCCCTAGGGTAGCAAAGCCCAAAACTAGAGGACATGGGTTTAAGGTGAGAGGGAGAAGATTTAAAAGGCGCAGCTTTTTCACACCAGGTGTTGCGTGTGTGGAATGAGCTGCCAGAGGAAGTGGTAGAGGCTGGTACATTTGCAACATTTCAAAGGCATCCGGATGGGTATACAAATAGGAAGGGTTTAGTGGGTTATGGGCCAAATGCTGGCAATTGGGACTGGACTAATTTAAGATATCTGGTCAGCATGGATGAGTTGGACCAAAGGGTTTCTTTTCCATGCTGTTCAGCTCTGACTCTATTTGAGTGAACATAACAATTGGAGCAGGCTATTTAACAATTTGAGGTGTTCTGCTATTTAATGAGATCATAGCTGACTTGCAACCTGGTTCCACGTAACTACCATTGCCAAAATCCCATAATAGTTTTGCATTACAAAATTTGGCAAAATTGTTTTAAAGTTATCAATGAAGTAATATCAATTATAACTTCCAGAAGAGAATTCCAAACTGCTGCAATCTTCATGCTTAGATGTCTCCTAATTTTAATTCCTGAAGGTCTGGCTAAACTAGGAATATGCTTGCCAATGCCAAAATATTCTTCCTAAAATGTTGCCCTCAGAAGTCAGTCATCCAAGTGTGATCTGACAAAGCCCAAGGACTTCTAACTTTCTCATTCTACACCTGCCTGCCGTGGAAGGACAACAGGCAATGCAGCTAGGGTGATCCACAAGAAGGGCCCAGCGGGTGTCGTTAGCCTTCTGAATAGTTAGCTTACCTGTCTGTGATATTTGAACAATTTATGCACGTAAGCCCCTGAGATGTTTGGACCTCCACTGTTTCTACCCTTTCCATCATGTTAAAAAATACCTGATTCTATGCTTTTTAGCTCTGAAGTGAATGGTGTCACATTTTCCTGCATTTGAAATTTGGATATGTGATGCTTTAGCCATCATCTTTGTTAATGACTTGGATGAATAGTTGAGGACCCAGCATAGATCTTTTGGGGCCACCACCGTGCACGTCCTGTGCATGTGCTTGATTATTCATTCTGCCTCCTGCCATTTATCATCCTGGTTAGGAAATTAGCTAACTTTCTCCCTATTTTTAACAATGAGAATAATTACAGATAAAGAGAATTTGTGTAGATATGTGAAACTAAATTATTTTGAATTTGATTAATGTTTTTGCTGTAGGGCGATCGAGAAACCTTCGAAAATTATTACAGGAAACAACGAAGGAAACAAGCAGGATTGGTATTGCAACCACAGTCAAGCATGGTATTGTTCACAATGATTGTTGAGATTTGCATGTCATCGTGCATTTCGTATGTTTGTGATCATCTGGTAAATTTCTTTTCCACTTCCTCCTTTCTGTACTAGCATGAAACTGTTGAAGGCTACAGAAAATATTTTAACCAAATTGTTGGGTAAGTGCTGTGACCTGTTGAAGGCTTAGTAATTCATCTGTGGTGGGGAAGAGTGTCTTAAAGTATTGATGCTTTGCAACTTGGTGCGCCTGCTATTGCAACTACTCCACAATTTTTAATTTTAACCAGGATAATTTTCCACAGTATATGTGGGAGCTGGTGTAGCAGACCTGCTTACTGGTAGCATTTCCAGACCAAAGGGTTGACTCCTTAGATAGTCCTGAGATGTCAGCTAATAGGTTCATGTGCAAATAGATGCCATTTTTGAATAAGACTGAACTAACCTGTTGCACTAATCTTGATTACTGTCACACATAAATTACACACACAACATGAACTTAATAGGTGGCAGGGTGGCTGAGCAGTTAGCACTGCTGCCTCATAGCTCCAGGGACCCAGCTTTGATTCCAGCCTTGGGTCACTGTCTGTTTGTGTGGAGTTTGCACGTTCTCTCTGCGTAGCTTTTTTCCCAGGCGCTCTGATTTTCTCCCGTAGTTCAAAGCTGTGCAGGCTAGGTGGAGTAGCCATGGGAAATGCAGGATTACGCAAATAGTGAGGCACTGGGTCTGGATGCGATGCTCTTCAGAGGGTTGGTGTGGACTTGCTGGGCTGAATGTCCTCTTTCTGAGCTGTAGGGATTCTATAAAAATACATAGGAAGCAGTTTACATATTAAAAATTTACTGTTTTTGATTCTGTGATATAGCATTGTACCTTCTTTTAAATCTGACTTTTTTGATTTTAGATTTTTTGTGGTGGAAGATCACATATTACATGCAACACAAGGGTTGGTGACCAGAGCATTTACTGATGAGCTATGGAATATGGCACTTTCAAAAATTATTGCTGTCTTAAGAACTCATTCAGTAAGTTATTCAGTAGCAGTGTTTTAAAACCATCTCAAGAACAAAATAAACACTGTCACATGTCAGCATAGTTTCAGGCATACCATCTGGGAATTTGACCTTCTTACCACTTTGTTTAGTATATGATGCTGCTACTACAAATTCAGATCTGGTGCATTGAATGTATCAATGTTTTCATAACTGCACGTCTACTGAAGTCTGCTGAAATAGACTGCTTTCTCTGAATACCTCCAAACCCGCATTATAGCGAATGAACCAGCGTGTCTAAGATGAAAGTTGAGGATTTGTACTTGGAAGTGAATCATTGTTGGCCTATAACCTGGTTTCATGTGACTTCTGACTTTGTCCACCCTAGTCCAACACCGGCACCGCAACATCGTTTAAACCTAGTTTGATCTAGTGGTATTTGGAACTAATAATGAAGGAGTTGTGTCACTTATTTTTGTGCCATGGTGCAAGTTAAAAGTATATTATGTATTTAGTGAGCTGTGTAGGAGGTGCAAAATCTAAATCACATGTCAAAAATCCAAGTCTTTGATGTTCAGAAATCAAAGTTTTCTCTTCCATAATTGTAATTGCAGTTGACTATGGGAGGCTGTGTGTCTGCCCTTCGTAACACTGCCAATTGTCAGGTGTTTCATGTTTGTTGACAAGTATATGCTAAAGTGAGAGATGGTTGCATCTTCCTTCTTTTGACTTTTTGTAATTAAGTTATTTAAATTTGGGAAAGGACCTGCCAGGCTTTTGTTTATCTCAGTAGAATTGGGATTTGAGCCACAGCCCTGGGCTGTTTGCATAATCCTTAAATGATTTACAACTGACTAGCCTTCCAAACATGCTTTTAGTCTGACAGTTTAGAATATTCAGAGTTAATCTGCTGTTATTGTTGCAATCTGTCCTCATTAGTCTCAGCTGACCTCTCCATTAGATCAGATTGAATAGTTCAGTATTGAAGGCACCACCAGGAAATAGTTCCTAATTATCATTCTAAATGCACTGTTTTCAAAATACACCCAGTGAAATTAGCAATGTCCCCTTTATGCACTAAATTAAAATCTTTGCCATACAGTAGAACACTATCTAATCCATAAACTGAATAAGTATTGTTCAAACATTGAAGCTAATTTGAATTGTGCTTCAGCATTTAACCTCAAACTGTATGCTTTCACAATAGTACTGAATAAATTGCACTTTGCATTTATGCTAAATTTTATATAATAGCTAATGGCCCAACTGGTCTACCTGCCACAGTGTTCTGCCATACTTCATTCAGTTCTGTTTTAGTGACTGCAAACTTTACTAATAGTTCTATAATAGAGTAAAACATGTAAAGAGACAAATGTAATTCAGTTGCAAGGCTGTTCGCCTGACCATTGCCTTATGCAGACCATTGTTTGCCTGTTTCGCTTTTGGATAAAATACCTACAGAGTATTTAACTGTAAATTTAAGATTCTTTCAAAACTAAGAAATTGAGAAGAAAATGTATAGTGTAATAGTATAGTCACTTCATTGAGGGATGTGGATAATATAGGATTATTTCAATTTATTGCCTTTTTTTTAGTTCCTCATCATTGTCGAATGACATCATGGTTGTTGACTAATATGCTGCTGTTCTTGCATGATGCTATCCACTTTTGCAAATGATTACTTGTGATATGAGTACTGCAAGTAATGAGTATTTGGTTTGAAGTAAAAAAATAATTGCAGTGGTATGGAATGGGAATCTATTTATCACATTGAGTTATTTATAAATTGTAATTGAAAATAACAGTGACCACATAGTAAAATGTGTATTTTTGTAATTCTGCTCTCTCTGGGAGAGCACAGTCATGTGTTTTCTAGAAAGTATTAACTTGGCTTTAATCTTGTACTCCTAGTCCTATTGCACTGATCCTGACCTTATTTTGGAGCTGAAGAATTTAATCGTGGTTTATGCTGACACTTTACAAGTAGGTGTTAGTCACTATTATAGTTTTCTACATTCACTGTTAAATTATACAGTATTGTAATTAACATTTTGATAAATTTCAGAATCTGAATAAATCCCCTATTATTAAAGTTCAAGAGCCTTGCCCTTAGACTCAGCGGGTGTAAACAGTTTTGAAATGGTTTTTCAATTTTAATGCTGAGAAATGTTACATTAAGACATTCCATTAAGTCTTGTTTCAACACTATGACAATAGAGGAAGTGCCTACAGGCTTTCCTGTTTGATGTTTGACAGGAATAAGAGTAATGATCAGCAGTAGCTATCATACTATTGACAAACAGACATAGAAGGCTGCAATGAAGAATGACATACAAAGGGAAGGGTTTGAGAGATTTAGGGGCTAGACGTAAGGGAACAAATGCAGATAGAAAGGGATGGATGGTTTGGAGGACTCATTAGCCAATATGTTTACCTTGTGACCTGTCTAGGAGTGGGAGAGAGATTTTAAGACCATCCAGGGTATGAAATAATGTACTACTCTTGAAGAGTTGTACAAGTCATGTAAAACAAAACATAACTTTGTTTTCATGGATGTCTTGATAAAGATGTTGGAACAATTTACTTCTCAGTTTGATTATACTTAATCTTTTACTGTCAGTTATATACAGCTGAGCTCAAATGATTTTGATGTTAAGGTTAGAATTTCATGAGCTTTCTGATAATTATTCTACGTTGTTAAATAAAACTGATCAAATAAGTTTGTGGAATGTGAAACCTGGGACTGAGTAATACATCTCTTCTAGAGTAAGGCACTTTAACTGGGGAAACCAAACCAAGTAAAGCCAACTTTCTAGATTATGTTGTGAAGTATGGTGTTGGGTTAAGACCTGGAAACCTAAGGTTCAAATGTTTGTTCTATTAATTGATGTTCATCAGAAAAGGGGTGAGGATTTTGCAGCTGATTTCACTGCACCTGGGCCAGACTAGAAGATGTTGGCTGCCTCCATTTCTCTATCTGCTTACAGAAAGTACATTTGTCCAGCTTATCCACCACCTTCCCACAGCATGGATTGTTCCCACATTGTACCAAAATTTTCAAACTATACAATGCCTGACTGGAGAGCAACAACAAATTTTGATCTAGCCAATGTTATGCTCTCCATTTTTTTATTTTTGAAGATATACTACTACTTCCTTCCATTTTCTGTCTTGATATATTTAGTTTCAGATTGTAGTTTGCCTTCCAAATTGATAGCTCAGTGAACACAATATTTAGCTGTACTCTATCCTTGTGACTGTAAGGCAACCGTTACTGAACCAAAACTTGACATATGAATCCATCTTAAAAATTATGGCAGTCTTATTAGAGACTGTTATTAGAGACTGGTTTTTCTAGGCTGCATTGGTCCCACACACTCAACCTATGTGGTTAGAATCATCTTTCCTTTTAATAGAATGCTGTAAACAGATTTTTGCCTCAAATTTTCCAGCATTTTGGACCAAAGTTGAGGACTTCGTACTCTTGAGAACTGAAGCCCAACCTATCCAACATGTTCAGAATTTAGCTGCTTTCCCTTGGAAGTTGTATGTTGGAACCATCTTTGTAAGACATTTTGAGCAGTTGAGACAAGTGTTTTTTTCTTTTCATATAGCCATTCTTGTGATTGACTTTGACTTTGACTTTGTTCCAATTGTTCTGAAGGCCATTGAAAATTGGATTAATGGGGCCTCGTTGTTTTCCCCCCTCAGAGTACAAAAAATTGAGCCAAAATTTTTTTTTGATAAAGTGGCTTGATGTTAAACCTAACCAGAACAAAAAAATCTCTTTGGAAATGCTGCTATTCTGCAAACACCAGCCATCATCTAATTCTGCGTGTCACTCTTCAGTGTTCAATTTTTGCATTAAACTTTAAATCATGAAAATTGATTAGTATTTGTCATGCAGTTCTTCATTTTCAAACAACTGAATCAGTTTGTTACTGCTTGCCAGATGTCCATATGTTCTCTTGATTTGAATTTTTTTCTAGGGCTATGGATTTCCTGTGAACAGACTGTTCGACTTATTACTTGAGATCCGGGATCAGTACAGTGAAACTTTATTAAAGAAATGGGCAATTGTGTTTAGGTTGGTAATGTTTGAAATATGTTCTATCCAGTCACCTTTTTATATCAAAGTGCTGCTATTTATTATCATTATCTTTACTCAACCAATTTCTATCTCAAAGTATTCCTGTTTAACAGGGTGACTCTCCTCATCCAAATAGAGTCGCCACCTCTTACTTGTTTAAACCCTAGACTTGAGCATCAACTAAAACAAGGAAGTGAAATCTTTTACTGGTCTCAAACCAACATCATTTTGATCAAGGCTTAAGGATGATGTTAAATCAGAGCTGACACGTTTTCCTTCTTCGTTTTAAAGACTTGAGTGAAACTAATTTTAATAGTCCATAGTAGGCAAATATCTCTAAGGTGGACATTTAACATTAAAGATGAAAGCATGGCCTAGTGAGTACATAAGGATGGCTGTGTGGTAAATGCAATACTAGAAGCTATTCTTTTCAATAGGGCTTGGTTCTATAACAGGGTAGAGAGTAAAGTATTTTTCCTGTCCATGTAGTTCATGTTATCCCTGAGCTTTACTTATTTGACACGGACGTTGAATGCAAAAGATATCAAGCACTGAATTCCCAGCAGTAGTAATCATCATTTTAAAATTTCCCTAATCCCTGAAATGAATTACTTAAGTTTAAAATAAATTCTTCCACCACTTCATTAGTTGCTAGTCATGACATTATTAATGCATGATTTGTTTTCTATCTAGAGTTTGCGTGGGTGTATATGGTGCTATTTCAGAGACATTAAATCTTATTTTAAACAGGGAAATCTTTGAGTCTGACAACTGCAGTCCTATTCCAGTAGCAAATGAAGAAGAATACAGAACAATAATTAGTCGATTCCCATTTCACGACTCGGAGCTTGAAAAGGTCAGTGACATCATTATCAACTTTCAGATTTATCTTGTAGACCACTCAAATTTGTTTCCAGTTTATTTATGCTGCAACATTAATGAAATTAAAAATAGTTTCTGCTGCATCGCAGTGTTAATTTTCAGTAAAGCTCCGAGTGAGGCCTTGATCTGATTCCAGGTGGGGAATACTGTGAAATTTCTTCAGGCAGCATTATACTGCTTGGGTTTAACACTGCATAATCTACTGAGGATTTTTAAGTTCATTTTTGTATATAATGTAAATAGCAAAATAGTGAGAATATAATGCTTAAACCTTCACAATTGAGTTGATTCCTTTTGAATTAAAAGGAATAGATTGCAGAAACTTCTTACCAAGTCCACAAAAAGTTGTTTCAACTTGGAGCTAATGATCTAAATTACTGCTAGGTAGTTTATTAACAAGATTCTGTCAGCTCTGCAGCGACTAATCTAAAAGCATTAGCTACAGAATAACTGCACCTAAAATATTCAGAAATAAATTTAGTTTGTTCAAACTTATTTCTTCAAATATTTCTTTAAAATGAGGAAAAAATTAGGTCTTAATTGTGGTGTGGATCCTTTTAGCAATAGTATAAATCTGAACTACACTTTCGCCTCTGTCTTAGTGCTTTAGGTCAAGTAGACGTGAATCTTTTGCATACTTTCAATATTAAAGTTGTGCGGTCTGAGGTCTATAGAGACAGTGCAAGAAAATGGCAATGTGTTGGCATTGCTCCCTGTATATACCTTGTGCAACACTTGATTGGAATATGGTTGTTTGCTGATGCAAAAGAAAAATGACTTTTTGTTCCATCTTCAAGGCTGATTATTTTTGAGCAGAAATTTCCTTGTGAAAGTTTGGAAGGGAAGTTAGTTCAGCTGGAAATACCTACTCCTATGTCGTCTTCCCTTAATTTCAAAAATTATCCTGTTTTTAGTAGTGGTTGTGATGATAGTTGTCAGATGACACTGAAGAGTTTCCATTCTGAAGAATGGATAAATGTTAGGCCAGCCTAACGAGCAAAGGAGTAGGCATAAAAGGTTCTTTTTAGTTGGCAAAATCTAACCAGTGATGTGCTAGAGAGATTAGTGTTGGGGCCCCTGCATTTTACAATTTTATAAAAATAACTTGGATGAAGGGACCAAAAGAGTTGTTGCTTAATTTGCTGGTGGAACAAAGATAGGTAAAAATGTATCTTGTGCAGAGGATACAGCGAGGCTACAAATGAATGTTAGGTGAGTATGCAAAGATGTGGGAAAATGTAAAATTTTCCATTTTAGCTGCAAAAACAAACCCATTATTGAAATATTGAGAGATTGTGGAGCACTCCGATGTAGAGTAATCTGGATATCTTGGTGCATGAATTTCAAAATACAATTGCTGTGCCCTGCATAAGTAATTAAGGACATCAGAATATTTGAAGGGGAACTTGGTACAAAAGTAGGGATGTTGTGTTTCAGTTATTCTAGATACTGAGACTGGATCTGGAATACTGTGTACACAATATTGGCTCCTTAGTAAAGGACAGATGCAAATACATTGGAAGCAGTGTAGCCAGTACTAGACTGATATTTGGAAATTAGAGGAAAGATTGGGCTGTAGGCTTATCTGCTGAAGTTCAGAAAAGTTGAGGTGACTTGATTGAAATGTGATCCTGAGAAGACTTAAGAGGATGGATGTGGAGTGATGTTTCCTCTTAAAATCTCAACCTAAGTGTCACCATTGGAAAAACCAAGGAATCACCCATTTAAGGCCAAGATTAGGTGAATTCTTTTTCTCAGATTATCTTGCGGAGCTCTCTTCCCAAAAAGATGGTGTAAGTTGTCCTTGAATACTTTTAAGGCAGAGGTCGGTAGATCCTTGCTGAGCAAGGGGATGAACGTTTATTGGGTTGGGGAATGTAGTTGAGCTTGCACTACTTCACATTAGCCATGATCTTATTAAATGATGGAGTTGGCTCAAAGGGCCAAATGGCTGACTCCTTCACCCAACGTGCATATTTGTGTATTAACTACTTATTCAACAGGACTAAACTCCTGTCCATCATGGGTAATAAATCCCAAGATTTAATTTCAACACAGCAAATTATGATCCTTCACCTAAAATCTGAATTCTGGATATATTCCATACTGATATTGTCAAATAGTTTCAATTTTCCTTTACTTGGTTACTTGTTGACTATTTGGTCACTGAACTTGTGTTTTCTGTTTCCTCAGACTCCCATTTTTAAAGTGTTCCCCTTTTATCGGGGTGGCTTTAGTGTTTTACCCCACAGTTACTTACCATCTGTACTTTCAATGACCTGTAGCTCTGCAGTCCTGACCTGTTTCCCTGCATGTAAGGACATCTTCTAAACTTAATGCTTTGATATGAAGTATTTCAATAACTTTTTTTGTTAGTTTAGGGTTAGATTAGTGGGATTTATGTCACATCTGCTATTTGTATTCTATTTGTTTCCTGGTTCTGAAATCCTAGTACGTTGTTTGAAAGATGTAAATCTGTGCAGTCCTTAAAACAAAAATCAAATGTGTTTTCTATTTTTAAATTGGCCTGATGAAATATTTTGTTTGTTTTTTACAACCTTTTAGCAACCTTTTCCAAAGAGGTTTCCAGTGTCTCAGTCAGTACCTGAGATCTACAAGGAATTCAAAGAGTTCATTTATGCAAGCCTTAAATTTTCAGAATCTCTTCATCGAAGGTGAGCATGAGATAATTCAGGGGAAAATGCCATAATCCATGCCTGCAAACATATCCTAAATATGCTTGCCAATTTCAAATTTGTGACACTTGTGTACTTTTTGAAGATTTAGTAAAGCTAAGCATGGGTAAGAAGTGTGAAAGAATTCTATACCTGAAATTTTAATATGGTGTCATTGTAAAAATAATGAAAATGTAGCAATGATGCATGAATAATTCATCTAAAATAGATGCAAAACAATTGCAGACTTCGAAGGAGACTGATTTGCTACTGAAGTATGTTACGTTTGAAATCTCTTAGGTGGTTTTTGCTAGAAATTACCATTATGTGAGAAGCCTAAGCTATGAGTTTAAAAATTATTCTCGTTCAACTGTGTTGGGTGAGAACGTTAAAGCCACAGGTTCAGCTCACCTACATAATTCTGTAATTTACAGGAAAGATTGGACAGTAAGTGAATCCAGACTTACTTTGTAGGTACCCCTCTTGCAAATCTAATGAATAGTAAAATAGTTCTGGTGATTTTTTTTTTTTAAAAGTTTAGGTAAAACAAGGGCTTTTCAACTGTTTCTTCTGTAACTTCCCTGAAAAGAATCTGCAGTTGCTATACAGTAGATGGTTGCTTTTTTGGACTGGAGGCCTATGACCTGTGGTGTGCCACAAGGATCAGTGCTGGGTCCACAGCTTTCAAAGGTATGGTTAGTAAGTTTGCAGATCTAACAAAAATAGATGGTGTAGTAGACAGTCAAGAAAGTTATGATCATAATAGGACCTTGAGCAGATGGGCCAAGGAGTGACAAGTGGAATTTAATTTACATAAATGTGCAGTATTGCATTTTGGTAAGGCAAACCACGACAGGACTTATACACTTAATGATACGGCTCTGGGAAGTGTTACCAAAAAGACCTATGGGTGCGGGTGCATAGTTCCTTGAAAATGGAGTCACAGGTAGACTGGGTAGTGAAGAAAGCGTGTGGCACACTTGTCTTCATTGGTCAGAACACTGACTATCGGAGTTGGGATGTCATGTTGCGGCTACACTGAACATTGGTGAGGCTGCTTTTGGAAAACTGCGTACAATTCTGCTTGCCCTTCCAGAAGAGGCAAGTTATTAAACTTGAGGGGGTGCAGAAAAGATTTACAAGGATGTTGCTGGAATTGGAGGTTCCGAGTTATTGGGAGAGGCTGAATAGGCTGGGGTGTTTTTCTCCAGAGTATTCGAGGCTGAGGAATGACCTTTATAGAAGCTTATAAAATCGAGAGAGACATGAATAGATTGAATAGCCAGGGTCTTTTTCCTAGGGTGAGGAAGTCCAAAACCAGAGGACATAGAGAGGAAAGATATAAAAGGGACCGAAGGGGGCAACTTTTTCAGAGGGTGGTGCATGTGTGGAGTGAGCTATCAGTATGTGCTGGAGGCTGGTACAATTACAGCATTTAAAAGGCATCTGGATGGGTATATGAATAGGAAGGGTTTAGAGCGATATGAACCAAATACTGGCAAATGGGACTAGGTCAGATTGGGATGTCTGGTCAGCGCAGACGAGTTGGACTGAATGGTCTGTTTCCTTGCTGTATGACTTTATTTTGTGTCATATTAAAAGTGGGACAGATGGAAGTTTAAAAAGCTGCTTAATTTGTCTTTTATTCATAATTGCTTAAAATACATTTAAATCAAGTTGGTTTTTTTTTGGTTTTGTTTAAACTGAGAATATTGGTTCAATGTTCATGTGCCCAGAGTTATTTCTTTACTGTAACTGCATACGTAGTTTGTAGGTTGTCACTTGTTAGTTGCTGTGGAAGGCATTACAATTAATGCAACTTGCGATGTGGACATTTAATGTAATGACATACTTTAAAAGTTATTACATTAAAGTCCCTTTAGAAATGCTTGAGAGGAACCTTGGATACTGATTTGTCAACATAATTTAAGATTGTTTTGGTTATTTGAAAAGCACTTGATTGATCAGTCTTACTAAGTGCATCATATTAATGCAAATTAATTCTGATTTTTAGTTCAACAGAAATAGATGATATGCTCAGAAAAGCCACCAACCTGCTACTGACTCGTACTCTGAGTGGATGTTTACAAAGCCTCATCAAGAAACAGCACATAGGTTTGACTGAAGTATGTATTTAATGTCTAGAAGGCTGTTTCTAAATAGTGCCAAACAGGTGGTTATGGAATATAGTCTAATGAACCTGTTCAGAGATGTTTATTACCAACTTCCAGAGCAGGTGGCTCAGAGGTTTAGACACTAGAACTGCACCACGAGAGCCTAGTTACTACAAACAATTAATATCAAATTAAGCAGTTGAAATCTCATGCTGCATTCTGGGTAGCCAGTCAATTCAGTTAATACTAGTGCTTTAACATTATTATTACTTTTTTTACCTGTCCACTGAGGGGATGCTCCCACAAAAGGGTATCAATGATAATTGGCAGCATTGTAATCAACAAGTGAAATAATTAGTCCTTCTCAAATGGTAGGTTAGATTTTGAGTGCAGTGGTATTGTCCCTACCTCTGAAACAGGAGGCTTCGGTTCAAGTCTCTTTTAACATCACTAAATAGGTTGAGAAATATCTACAACTTCTCTGGGCCAGAAGTCCCACCTACCCCAGAGATGTGTCATGACCTATTTTGAATATTATTGATTTAAAAACTGTTACAACGTGCAAATTCACCTCCTTAGTCCAGGATTAAGTAGCACGTTGTAAAGCAGGAGGACATATCAAATTGAGTCAAACAATTGTGCAATCTATACTAAAGGCTTATAGGTTACAAATTAAACACTTGATAACTACTGTTTTTGAGATACCCATGACTACCAATCCTGTATTGGACCTATTCCAGCATTTTGGCCTCGCATTCTCTAAAACAACTAATACATGCCTTAAAATCTTATGAAATTAAAGTAACATCAGAGTACAAAACTATTGCCATTGACTGAAGGATCCTATAGTAATAAAGAACATGGCAGTAAAATCAAATCAGATGAAGTTTCACAAGCTGGGTTTAACAGGTTAAAATAATTCTGATTTAGATTCAATATCTGCCCACCACTATCTTTATAATGTCAAACATTTTGCTAAAAAGCTTCTCTCAAACTGGTTTTCAAGCAGGAATAATTCATTGGTTTCATGTTTAATTTATTGAAGAATGTACAAAGTTCAACCAAGCTCCGATTTGAAGATGTATCTGTTGGACTTTTTTTTAATTACCTGAACAAACGTTTTAAGTATATTGTTTTAGAAAGTAGGTATGAGAGTAGGTTAATATCCAGTCTCGTTCTTTTCTCATTTCATGTTTGGCTGCTTCCACTTGTCTCCAGAAAAACTGAGTCAGTGTGATCATTGCACCTGGTAGGGCTCCTGTCCCCCCTCAAACTCAAGAGATGCAGCTTTAAATATATACCATAACTAGTTCAGTCATTGTCACAAGATCAAACACCAGTAGGCTCTGCTTTCTTGGACCAAGACTATCTCACCCTAGTTCTCTCCTTTCCACTATCCTAATCCTGAACATTTCTTTTGGTTTCTTTAATATTCCGTCATACCCTTTTCAAGTATATCTTGTTGATCAGGTCCACGTCTTGCTCTCTTGATCTATTCTTATTTATCCTGCATGTACCTCCTTGAAGCAGGTTTCTGACCTTGCCAAGGTAGAACCAGCTGTAATCAAAGTCACAAAACTAATACTTTTGGCTGCAATCATGGTATGTGATCCCCCTTTTTTTTTACTTTTTTTTTTTGCATCCTTTGATATAACTGAGCACACCATCGTTCATTAATGCTTTCCAATTGTTCAACTGAGTAAGACTTTGTATGGTTCCACCCCATCTGATCCATTCATAATGAAGAATTTCTGCCAATGACTTTTGTTTTTGCTCTAGCATTATTGCATGTGAACAACATACCCCCCCCCCCTCCAAAAAATCTATTATTTTCCATTTTCAATTCCTCATCTTTGTCGTGATACTTGGCAATGTTATCAGAATACATGAACATGCGAGCAAGGAACAAGAGTAGGCCACTCGGCGCTTCAAGCCTGTTTTGCCATTCAATATGATCATTGTTAGTCTAATTTTTACCTCAAGTCTGCATTCCTGCATAACTTCAGTAAGCTTTTCATTCCTGTGGTAATCAAGAATCCATCTACCTCTGCCTGAAAAATTCTGCATTTACTGCCTTTTGAGGGTGTATGCTAAGACACTTAACCCAGAGAGACGAAATGTTTCTTCATCTGCCCAAAATGGGTAATTCCTTAGTTTAAAACTATGACCGCTAGTTCTAGATTCTCCCACAAGAGGGCTCCATATGTGTGCTTATAATACCGAGCTCCAACTTAATCCTTCCACTGCTTCTTAGACTGCTTGTCTGTCATCCAATCTTTAGACTGAATTTCCTTACTTTAAATATTAGGAAGACTAAAGCAAATGCTTTTGGCTGGTTTTTCTCCAACATGCTGTTGACTGCTAATCCATCTTCCCCCATCCCCTCCTCCTCCTGTTTAAGACTGAATAAACCTGCTTGCATCCTCTGAATAATATGTAATTCCAAACTGCCTCCAGTCCTCCTCCTCTTAAAGAGCCCAAGCTTCCATCTATCTAACAACACCTTGCCTGTGACTCTCTTCACCCGATTATCCGCAAATCTTTATCCAGGCTTTTTATCTCCAACTTCAGTATTCCAGTTCTCTGGATGATTTGATCATCCCCTACACTGTTTGACTTTGAGCTCATCCAAAACTTTTCTGTATCCTAACTCTGAATCCACTCCAAATCCTGGTCACTTTTTATCAGCCTATGTTTGCTAGATTGCCTTTGATTAAATACTATTATTATTCTCATTGCATATGCAACTTGCACTCATATCAGAAGACAGTAAAATGTACTCCATCTCATTAGCAATATAGTGTCATTCAACGTCTAGTTAAGATTCACCAATGCCTCAATTTCACACCTTGTCAACGTCGTGCCTTCTGCCGTGCAATATTTAGAGAATTCTGGTCTCTTTTGCATTCCACATTCTTTCACACTGCCATTACTGACTGTACATTCAGCTGCTAAGTTCTCAAATTCCTTCCTGAGGCCTTACCTATTGTTTAAGACCATTTCTTAAAACTTGTCCCATTGATCTAACTTTTAATTACCCCTTCAAGAAAGGAGCTTGACCAGTAGTTCTTGCAGCAGGATTATTTATTTGTGTGCTTATCAGTGTCCATGGAGTATTAAACAGCAAGAGACCTAATCTAAATCCCCTGTTCCACCTCTATCTTATAAGAATACATTTCCAAGAGAATCATTGGGTGGTGGTTTAATGAGGTTTATAGAAGGATTAACTAAGCCATGCAGGAAGGTTCATGTTTCAGTTATTGATCTATGCGTAGTTAGCTGGTGTTGGTCAGGGTGGTGGTAGGAATTCTATAATTGGTCTCAACTTCAGCGGATTAGAGAAGGAAAATCCATCCAGAAATCCCATTCCTAATTACAGTCTGTTTGTGCCATACAAAGGAGCATGTGTACGGACCTCGGGCTAGACTAAATTGGGCTCAGCAGTGAATGGTGAATGCTTAATAATTTTAAAAGTACCAGTATTTGATGCTGGAGCTGATGTATTCCTCATCCAAATGGTCATTGTAATTCATAAAAGCTATACACCAGCAAATTGTCACCCCTTTCAAGTGGCAAATGGAAAACTTGTAGTTTAAAAAAGAAATAAGCTTGCTTGACATGTCACTTACATTAGGATAAAACCATATGAATACACTTTCAAGTAGAAAAGGGATTCTGTTTTATAAACTCGACTGACTACTTTTAATACTTAAAAACAGTAAAATATACTCTGTATAGCATTAACATTATGGTGCAATCTATTTAGTGGCCACAGCTCATGGTATTTAATGTTTTTGTGATATTGATGTAACTTTTTGTATGAAACTTGGGTTTTCTACTGTGTTGGTCAGTAAACATTAATTGAATTGATCAATTATCTATTACTTAGACAGGATGAAAATTTCCACACCTAACATCCATTCTAAGCTTGACACCATCCAGGACAAAGCCCACTTGATTGACACACACCAGTATTGTCCACTACTTCCCTTCATTGCTTCACAGTGAAAGCATAGTGTACCATCTACCTGATGCGCTGTGGTAACTGACCAATGCTTTAGCAGAGCCTTCCAAAGCCCCCATCTCTGCCACTAAAGGGACATGGGCAGCAGAAATGTTGGAACATCACCTTGTGCAAGTTCTTCTCCAAGTTTCTCACTATCCTGGTTTTTGGAACTACATGTGCTTGAAATTTTGAAAAACATGAGGATAGATAAGACCCCTGGGCCAGACGGGATATACCCAAGGTTACTACGGGAAGCGAGGGAAGAGATTGCTGCCCCTTTGGCAATGATCTTTGCGTCCTCTCACTCCACTGGAGTAGTACTAGAAGATTGGAGGGTGGCAAATGTCATTCCTTGGTTCAAGAAAGGGAATAGGGATAATCCTAGAAATTACAGACCGGTCAGTCTGTCTTCTGTGGTGGGCAAATTATTGGAGAGGATTCTGAGAGATTATGTGGAAAAACACAGTTTGATTAGAAATAGTCAGCATGGCTTTGTGAGGGGCAGGTAATGCCTCACAAGCCTTATTGAATTCTTTGAGGATGTGACAAAACACTTCGATGAAGATAGAGCAGTGGATGTGGTGTAATTGGATTTTAGTAAAGCATTTGATAAGGTTCCAGATGGTAGGCTCATTCATAAAATAAGGAGGCATGGGGTTCAGGGAAATTTGGCAGTCTGGATACGAAACTGGCTGACCAATAGAAGGCAGAAGGTGGTAGTAGATGGAAAGTATTCACCCTGGAGCTCTGTGATCAGTGATGTTCCACAGGGATCTGTTCTGGGACCTCTGCTGTTTGTGATCTTTATAAATGACTTGGATGAAGAAGTGGAAGGGTGGGTTAGTAAGTTTGCCAATGACACTAAGGTTGGTGGAGTTGTGGATAGTGTGGAGGGCTGTTGTAGGTTGCAATGGGACATTGACAGAATGCAGAGCTGGGCAAAGAAGTGGCAGATGGAATTCAACCCAGAAAAAAGTGAACTGATTCATTTTGGAAGGTCAAATTTGAATGCAGAATATAGGGTTAATGGCAGGATTCTCGGTAGTGTGAAGGAACAGAGGGATCTTGGGGTCCACATCCATAGATGCCTCAAAGTTGCTACCCAAGTCGATAGGGTTATAAAGAATGCGTATGGTGTGTTGACTTTAATTGGGTGGGGAATTGAGTGTAAGAGCCGTGAGGTTATGCTGCAGCTCTAAAACTCTGGTTAGACCACACTTGGAATATTGTGTTCTGTTCTGGTCACCTCATTACAGGAAGGATGTGGAAGCTTCAGAGAGGGTGCAGAGGAGATTTACCAGGATGTTGCCTGGACTGGAGGGCAGGTCTTGTGAGGAAAGGTTGAGGGAGCTAGGGCTTTTTTCAATGGAGTGAAGAAGGATGAGAGGTGACTTAATAGAGGTGTACAAGATGATGAGAGGCACAGATAGAGCGGATAGTCAGAGAACTTTTTCCCAGGGTGGAAATGACTATTACGAGGGGGTGTAATTTTAAGATGATTGGAGGAAGGTATACGGGAGATGTCAGGAAGGTTCTTACACAGAGGTGGGTGTTTGGAATGTGCTTCCAGCAGTGGGTATGCAATCAGATACTTTAGAGACTTTTATGCGACACTTGGATAGGCACATGGAAGATAGTAAAATGTAGGGTATGCAGGGTAGATTGATCTTAGTCGGATAATAGGTCAGCACAACATCATGGGCCAAAGGGCTTGTACTGTGCTGTACTGTTCTATGTTCTATGCTACTGGATAGTAGCGCTGCTACTGGATCGAAAGCCTTGCTTCCTAACAGCACTGTGGATGTCCTTGGAGTCCCTTCTCACCATGCCATTAAGGATGACAAATGCTGGACACCTAACAGTGCCCTTATTCTCTTTAACAAGTAAAACAAGTACCTTTTTGATCTTATGGCATGAGTAAAGGTTCTTTTGCATGTAGTTGAATTCGTCACCTAAGTGAGCTCTTCACAACTGATACAGTATTTACACTCTGTAGAATGCATTTCCTCAACTTAACAAGGAAATCTGAACCTATCTCGCTGTGGCAGTTTTAACTGATGAAAGGACAAGCCACAATCTAGTGGGAATAGTTTGCCCAATAATCTGTAATTTTCACCTCTGCAACACCAATAACTGCAGTGATTTAAGGTGAAGGCCCATTGCTATCGTCTTAGGATGACTAAGTTGTGCACTGAAATACCACTATATCAATATCTCCCACGTTCTGAGAACAAATTAGTTGTTGCTATTTTGCAATTCCTGGTTACTGTCTCTTCAAGTTGACTTTCTGGTTCAGTGCTGATTTCTTCTTATGCAAGAGAAGTTGCTGCCGAAAACTGCTGCTGACTGATGCAAGCCATTTAAACTGTCAGTGTGTAGCGCTGTTAAACCACTTGATCGCTCTTCACTATTCCTTTTCAAATAATTGAGCCACCTATGATTAGCAACTCCAAGTTTTAAGCTCTGGCATACTAGCTATAAGTTATCTTGTAGAATTTTAGATGTTTCATCAGTCCAACTTTTACATAATTTTTAATCAGCTGTTTAAATTGCCAAACAACATTGCTCAGTTGTTCAGCAGTACTACATATCAGCATTTCAAACAGTTGTCAGTTTTTCAGTGATTTTAAACTTTACACTTTATTCTTATTCCATACCCTTTCTCCCATTTAGCCTATTTTCCCTTGTGCTGTTTCTGACAGTGTTGGAATGGTAGGATTGACATTTGGTTTGATTTATTGCTAGCACAACTGAGTGATCCACTTCTTAGTGATCAACTCAGTTGCACTATGTTCAGATTGCACTCCTACAAATCCTTTTGAAAAAATTGAAAATCCGTGTCACCAATGCCATTATTGAATGCTTTGGGTTGAAATGATTTTCTACATGGGTAGATAATAAAGAAGAAACCTGTTCAGTTTAAATAATGAAGTAATGCAAGAATTATTCTTAGTTTCAACATTTGAGACTTTTTTTAACCTGCAACCCCCACCATACACAAACTGAACCAACATCTTATGGGTTGGGGAGTTGGGGGTGGGGGTGGAGAGAGAGACAGGTAGGTGGAGATGGATTCTGGAGAGATATGAAAGGGGTAGGTAAATAAGGAGATTATGGATAGTAGACCAGCAGAGAAGAAATCACTTATTCAAGTTATTAGGAGCTAAGAAGAAGAAAATTGAGCTGTACTGAATGTGACCCATATAATATGATAATTGGCTTTGGAGTACATCAGAATGGGTGACTGTGCTAAAAGCAACCCATGTCATAACAGGACCGGGTGTGGAGTAGGTCTTTTTCAACAAAAATTGGAAGAATGGAATTGGGATCTAAAATTATTGAACTCCGTGTTGAGTCCTAGAGGCTGCAGGATTGCCAAGTGGGAAATAAGATGTTGCTCAAGCTTGTACTGAAGCTCATGTAGAGGCTACCTTCACCTTGAGCCCTCTTCTTTGGACAAGAGTCCTCGACAGATTCCTCACCCGCTTTGAACAGACTCTTCCTCCACCTGGAGTCCTCCTTCTGGCCTCTTCCCTACATTTGACCTGTTTATTGAGAACTGTCAGTGTGACATCAGCCTTAATTGCTCCGCCACACCCTCCACCCCATTCAGACCGCTATCCCTCTGAACTGCAGTCTGTGCCCTCTGGTACAATCCTGACTTTGTCACGAAGGTTGCCAACCAAGTGTGGTGCTGTTGTTGTCTGGTATACTGACCTCGACATTGCAGAAGCTGAGCGTTCCCTCTCTCTGACAACATCTCCTATCTCCCTCTGGACCATTATCCCACCATCAAGCATCGGGCCATTATCTCCAACCTCCTCTTAGCTGGGGATCTTCCCGCAACAGCCTCCTAGCTCATAATTGTACAGCCTGTTTCTACCTTCTCCGAAAGTCACGAATAGGACTGCCCTGGCAGACCCACTATTTCTGCCACACAGAACGTATTTCTCCCTACCTTGACGTTTTCTCCCACCCACATCCACCTCCCACCGCTACTTAGCATTGATTCTTCTGATGCTTTGAAAGAGTTTCAAACTTTCATAGTTTCAGGATGTAGCCACCTCCTCTTCACTATAGGCGTGCAGTATCTTTTATACACTTGTCCCCACTTAGAATGGTCTCGGAGCCCTCCATTTCCTGGAAAGAAGGTCTGAACTGTTTCTATCCACCTCGTTCTCACTTTGAACAACTTTTTCTTTAACTCCAAGATTTTTCAGATTAAAGATGTGGCCATGGGTATCCACTTGAGCCACAGTCATGCCTGTCCCTTTGCATGGTAGGTGGAACATTCCTTGTTCCAGTTTTACTTGGGTCCCTCCCACAACTCTTTCTGTGGTACATAGATGACATAATCAGGGCTGCTTCCCCCCCCTCAATCTGAACTGGGAAAAACTTATCAATTTTGCTTCCAATTTCCACTCTGCCGTCACCTCCACCTGGTCCATCTCTGACTCCTCCCTTCCCTTCCTCAACATCGCTGTTTCCGTTTCTGGGGATAGGTCAGGCAATGATACCCATTACTTACTCCCTAATTTCCAAAGTTACCTTGCCTACGTGTCCTCAAACCCTGCTTCCTGTAATAACTCCATCCTATTCTCACAGTTGCTCCATTGCATAAGTCCTGACGATGCCACTTTCTACAGTGCAGATTCCGTGCTGTCATGGTGGACAGGGGCCTCAGCTATGTTCAACCAATCCCCATGCACTTCCAGTGTACACCCCCTGGCATCTTTCAGTGCAATCGTAAAAGGTGCAATTGATGCCCCTTTACCACCTCCATCCTTGCCATCTAAGTCCGCAGACATACCTTTCAGGTGAAGTAGTGATTTACCTGCACTTCATTCACTCTAGTAGACTGTATTTGCCCCTCTCCATGTGGTCCCCTCTACAGTGGGGAGATGAAATGCAGACTGACTGTTTTGCAGAACACCTACATTCTGTCAGCAAAAATGACCTCAAGCTTCCAGTTGCCTGCCGCTTCAACAGACTGCCATGTTCCCTAGCCAGCAAACCTGTCACAGGCCTCCTGCAGCGTAATACCACTTTTTCCTAGCTGCTAACAGATCTGATGGGGAGTCACCGGACTCAAAACGTTTATTGTGCTTTGTTCCCACAAATGCTGCCAGACCTGATGAGTTCCTCCAATTTTTTTTAAATTTTTGTTTCAGATCTCTAGCATTTGCAGTTCTTTCTTAAACTGTTCAGTTTAAGATTCATATGGCTGAGACTAGAAGCATGTAAAGTTAGCGGTTGTACATTTCCAGGTCCTGGAATAATCAGGTTTTCAAAGTGTTTGAAATGCTTCTGCCAAGCTTAATGTAGGCAATGAAAGTGAAACGATAGTTAACACCAGATATGCTGTTTCATCCTTACTGCAATGTATGGCACTACTTTAAAACCACCTGAAGAATTGCAAAGAAAATTCACCTACCATTGTTTTGTAACTTTTTAAAATCTTGTGATATTTGAATCTAGTCTTACTGCAAAGCATGAATAAAAGCAGAAGTTGCTGGAAAAGCTCAGCAGGTCTGGCAGCATCTGTGAAGAAAAGATCAGTTAACACTTTTTGGGTCCGGTGATTCTTCCTCCGAACTCGGACCCAAAACATTTTTTATTTTTTTTTTTTTTTTTTTTTTTTCTTCCTTCACAGATGCTGCCAGACTTGCTGAGCTTTTCCAGCAACTTCTGTTTTTATTCCTGATTTACGGCATATGTAGTTCTTCCGGTTTCAACTGCAAAGCAAATTTGAATGAATTTCTTTCTGTTGAGTGGATAATACGTACTTGCTGAGCGTTTACAGAAATATAATGCTGCATGGGTCTTCTGTGTACTGTTAGATGTTTTGGTGTTTTAACTGAGGCGAGGCATATAAATTATGGTTAGTTGAAACAGTTGGGATTGTAAGCTTATTGCTTTTTATTAGAGGATGTTGCTTAGAATGAATTGCTAGAAACTGGTAGGAAAACTCAGTCTTGGTAAATGTATTTTACATTTTCCAGCTTGTACAAATCATCATAAATACAACACATCTGGAACAGGCCTGTAAATATCTTGAGGATTTTATAACAAACATCACCAATGTTTCCCCAGAGACTGTGCACACCACGCGACTTTATGGACTGTCCACATTCAAGGTATGTACAAATTGGATATGTTGGCAGTAAACAGTGGAAATTTGTCTTGTCAATACTGCAGTCATGAGTAAAGCAATCATTGTGATTTAATAGCAATTATGATTTATTGCTAGACCACAAGTGCATACACACTTGTAGTCATGCAACATATTAAATTCAAATTATTCTTGTAATCTGAAGTTCTTGGGAAAAGATATTAAATGTTTGCTATGAAAACCCATTGGCTCCTTCCTTTTTGGGTAAATCAGCCACTTGATCTATGCTGGAAGTAAGTAATTGACTTTCTTTCAAGTTTATTATTTAACTAAATGTAAATATTTTTGTGTTTCAGTTTTAGAAAATGCAGTTAAATTCTTGTGCTTAATGACTCATCAATTAAATTTGTGAACTGTGTATTGAATCCCTTCTAAAACTAGCTATATAATGCCCCAGCAGTACAGTATTTGCAGTATCAATATTTTTTGTTTCCCTTTTCATCCAGTGTTTAAATATATTGATTTTCGTGTTGTAATTTCTTTGTTTGTTCAACTGGAAATTATTGCTATTCAATTTTAAGAGCTTATTTTTCTTTGAAATTTGCAGGCTTCGTTATGAGAATTACATGTTGTCCACATGTAAATTGAAAGTAGTTTTACGAAGTGATAAAACCTTGATAATTGATCATTGAAGCTGGATTGGGGTGGTCTTTGCAATGATCGAGATACATATCTAAATAATTTCAAATAATTTATTATTTTCAGGATGCTAGACATGCAGCAGAAGGAGAAATATACACAAAGCTTAACCATAAGATTGATGAGTTCGTACAGCTAGCTGACTATGAATGGACCATGACCGAACCCAATGGTCGAGCCAGTGGTTATTTAATGGATCTTATAAACTTTCTCAGAAGCACTTTTCAAGTTTTTACACACTTGCCTGTGAGTACTATATATGAAAATGAAAATCCCAAAATAATACTCCAAGTATATTCTTTAAGATTACTCCATAGATCCTTAAAGCACTTAGATTTTCGTCTGTTATTCATGCACATAATTTTTATGACCATGAAGATTTGTGGTTTTACTTGCTCTTAGCTTAAACAAGAATTAAAATGTCACTCTTTCCAACTGACTTCCTTGAATGGCTCTTGATGTATGAGCTAAAAAGCAAACTGGCTTCACTGTTGAAAGAGAATTTTAATTAGCTACACAGGTGGCGTTAATCCAATTTTCAAAGACCTCCAAATGAATGGAGCAAGCAGTAGCTGTATGTATAAAATGTTACTTTTCTGACCAAGCTTTGATATTTAACTCCTTTTTTAAAATGAGACAAAATAATGTTTAAAGTAATACCTTTTGCATGATGCAATAGAATTGAGCTATGGAAAATACCTGTTCAGTTGGGATATTTTAAACATTTGCTGCATAACACCCATAAAGTGAGGGAAGGCAATTTAGTACTCATGACTATGGACATTAAATGAAAGGGATTGATATGGACACACTGACTTTTATTTTATGAAGATGTCCACCTAGCAACTGATCTTAAGTAGTAATACTATTTTTGATTTTATTTTCCTTATTATTGGTGTTTACACTTCTTTCCACATCTGTTTACATTTTGATTTTTTGTTTTGATTTCCTTGCTGGGTTCCTTCTCAGAATAACGTCAATCACCATGCAGCTATGTCGGTGAGTATATGAAGAAAGCATGCACATCTGAAGGCTGTGAACTGACTACAGGCTTGTTGCTCAAATCGAGTAACCCTTGATATAAATTTAAAAGT